CTTTTCTGATGAAGGGTCTAGGCCCGAAACGTCAGCCTCTCTGCTCCTATGATGCTGCTTGGCCTGCTGTGTTCATCCAGCCCTGCACTTTATTCAAATGTGGAATTGATTTGGACACTATTTTCTGAGGTTTGCCATCAAGGACTAATTGAGTATGGTCAGTACCCTGCCAGATGCAAACAACTGAAGAGAAATGCCATTTGATGACGCATCTGTCCTTGTTATTGGGATATATGGCCTGCATAGCTGGCATCATATCTGCACTTAAATTCGCAAATGCTAGATAGAATGTCTTTGTGACTTGGTGGCAGCATCCACGTTGCTACTGCATTGTGGCAGCATGAAATGGTTAGCTTCAGCTGTTATAGGGCTGTCCAGCTTAGAAATAGACCCTTTGGTCCAACTCGTCCTTGCTGTCCAGATATCCTAAATAAATCTAGTCCCATTTGCTTGCATTTGGCTCATGACCCTCTAAACCCTTCCTATTCATGGACCCACCCAGATCCTTTTCAGTGTTGTAATTATATCAGCCTCCACCACTCCTTCTGGCAGCGCATTCCATACATGCACCACCCTCTACATGAAAGTGTTTCCCTTTAGGTCCCTTTTGTGCCTTTTCTCTCTCACCTTAAACCTATGACGTCTGGTTTTGGGCTCCCTTACCCTGGGAAAAACACCTTGATTATTCACCCTATCCATGCCCCTCATGATTTTGTAAACCTCTATAAGGTCACCCCTCAACCTCATACGCTCCAGGGAAAATAGCCACAGCCTATTCAGCCTCTCCCTGTAATTCAAACCCTACAACCCTCGCAACATTCTTGTGAATCTTTTCTGCACCTCCCAAGTTTAACAACATCTTTCCTATAGCATGGAGATCAGAACTGAACATAGAATTCTGAAAGTGGCCTAATTTGCTGTAATTTTTGAGACATCTTACTCTTCCAAGGCAATATTAGAAAGACTGGATACTTTTCAAGACTGAAAGTGGCTGCCTTGAGTCCGTTCATGGGTTTGTACAATATACAGCAAGCAATGATCTTTTAAGGATATTCATTATCCCACAATATAGCTTTGCTGTGTCTGTCAAAATTGCATGGTTCTCAAATGACTTGGGTTCTATTTATGAAGTCAATCTGAATGAGTGGAATGGTGGTAATTCCAACCTGTGTATTTACCAATGACGATTTACAATGGACAGTAGTAGAGAATGCATTAGTGGATTTCTCAATTGCGCAGTGAGGAAAGGAGGGTTGTTTGACATTCATTTCAAAGATGAATTTAAACACAGGATCAGGGTGTGTAAGGAACTTCTTTCATGGAATTACAGATTGCAATACAACAAGTGTGTCATCAGCATAATGGTAATATGCAAGAGGTTAGGGGTCATCCCATCTAAGATATATTTCTTGTGGAAACTGACAAAAGATGTTAGCGAGCATTGGTCAATTCAGGAATCCCAAAGCTGTACCATTTATTTTGGCATACAAGTGTTATTAAAACAGAGGTCAACTGTACAAGTTTCAAAGTTCATAAGTTTAATCAATATGGATTCAGATAATGGTATCATGAAAGGATCACTATCATACAGTGTCATTGTGCAAAGGTCTATGGCTTCCTTGAGCGGTACATTAATTGATAGGCTAGCATTGTTGAATGAACATAAGAACATGGCATCAATATCGGAATGCAAGCCCATCATGGTCTTTGCTAAGGTTGTGTATATGTGGAAAACATGCCCAGGACTGGTATGAGCAACAATTTAACTAATTAATGTTGTGTAGACCCAGTCATAGATAAAATAGGGTGTCAACATTTTGTTATGAATCATATGAAACTGTGGAGCAGACCAGCTCTGAGGTAGAGTGAGTGGGTGCTGCTGAAAAGAATGGGTTTTGTTGGACAGATGCATTTTGTTTCATAGTTGTAATTTCTGTGTATAATATTTGTAATTTCTGTGTATAATGTAAGTCAAAATGAGAATCTACTTTTTGAGAACACCGGGTGAGCCCTGAGAATGGTTTAGTTAGTGTGTTAAATAATGCCGACCATAAAGTATTTCAGTTCTGTTGGCATGATGAGCTGAGAACAAAAACATCAAAATTGAAAACCTCAGTGGTGAAAACTGGATCCTTTGCCCGGTCCATGGGCAAGATGAGGCATATTTTAGCATATTTTAACAGATTGGTGAAAGGTGTCTGAGTGAGGTTGCTTCATGAATCAGAATTCTGTTTTTAATTTCTGTTCATAGACAGAACTTTTGAAGAGAAGTGCAAGATTTGTTTATTTCCCACATCAGTCATTCTATAATCACTGACTAAAATTGCCTTTTAGTGCTGAATCATTACCATTTCTTTTGTCTCTCTGTGACGGTGGTGTTGAGCTAAACTTGGATCTCAGAGATCAAGTGCCATTTTCTAATACAATATACATAGATATTTCCTCCTGAAGGTGATTTCCTAATTTTGTGTAGATCTAAAAAAATCTCATAATCACTTAATTTTATTCCCTTGTTCATAATTTTGAGGTAGAAAATAATTTCATCACCTGGATCCCTCCAGAGACAAGTTTCTTTACTTAGGCCATAACTAATCTTTCTTCCTGCCATGGATGATATTTAATTTGGCAGATCTGTCTTGGCAGCAGGAATCTTTATTTCCTTGCCAAAGTCTACTAGCTTCTTGGCTGAAGGTACTACTTTTACTCAGTCAAGAAGGAATTCTGGAGAATACAAATTTAGGAGGGAGTAAGGGTGTCTAACTTGGCATTGTAAGTAGCATCAAATCCATTTAATTCACTAATGTCCTTCAGGGAAGGAAAACTGCCAAGCTTACCTGGTCTGGCCTGCATGTGTCTCCAGGACCACAGCAACGTGGTTGACTCTTAATGCCCTCTGGGAAATTAGAGATTGGCAATAAATACTGGCCTAGCCAACGATAGCCATATCCTGCAAACAAATAAAAAAAAGACACAAATATTCAAGTTAAGTAGGAGGAAGTTGAAATATTTAAAATAAAAGAAACACACTGAAAAGAGTTACAAGACTATGGGCTGAATGCTGGAAAATGGGATTAGAATAGGTAGATGGTTGTTTTTGACCAGTGCATCTGTGATGGGCTGATCGGCTTTTTCTGTACTGTAGGTCTGTATGACTGTGATTCAATGAAGGTGGATGAATTTTACCCTAGGCTGTAAAGGAAGTGTGGGGAAATGGATGCTCTGATGATCATTTTCCTATCCTCATTAGATAGATTCGATCAGGTGGCTCAGTGGTTAGCACTGCTGCCTCACAGTGCCAGGAACCCGGGTTCGATTCCACCCTTGGGCGACTGTCTGTTTGGAGTTTGCACATTCTCCCCGTGTCTGCGCGGGTTTCCTCTGGGTGCTCTGGTTTCCTCCCACAGTCCAAACATGTGCAGGTTAGGTGGAGTGGCCATGCTAAATTGCCTGTAGTGTTCAGGGATGTGTAGATTAGATGGGTTATAGGGGTTGGGTCTGGGTGTTGGCTGCAGGAAGATATCAATGGTTTGGTTGCGTGAGTGGAAAAATGGCAAATGGGAATTCAATCCGAAGAAGTCCAAGGTTATGCGTTTGTGGAGAACAAACGAAACAAGTCAGTAAATCATTGATGAGAGGCTGTTGAGTTGAGGAAGTGACAGAACTTGAAGTGCATGCCCACAGGTCCCTTAAAGTTGCAAGGCAGGTAGATAAGTAGTGAAGAAAGTAAACAAGATGCTTTCCTTCATTGGCCAAGGTATTGAATACGAGAACACGTTTGTAATGCTGGAACTATATAAGACACTGGGTAGGCCACAGCTAGGGTTTTGGGCATGGTCCTACTCACCACGTTACAGGAAAGACATAACTGTTCCACAGAGAGCACGAAAATGTCTCAGGGCTTGAAAATTGCAGCTATGAGGAAAGATTGGATAGTGTGAGGTTGTTTTCCTTAGAACAGAGGAGACTGAGGGATGACTTTATTGAGGTGTACAAAAAAACATATGAAAGGATAGTTTTTAGCTCAGATGGCTGCCAAAAGTGCAGGTTTAATTCCAGTACTGGCTGAGGTTACCCTTGCTTAAGGCATGGTGACCCTCAGATTAAAGGTACAAGGTACTAAATTGGGAGAGGTCAAATTACATCAGTATTAGGCAGGAGCTAGGTCGTGTTAATTGTGAGGAGCTGTTCTTGGGCAAGTCCACATTTGACATGTGGGAATTGTTTAATGACCTTGCTGATGAGAGTTCAGGACTGGATGTTCTAGTAAGGAGGAAGGGCAAGATGGCAAGTTGAGGGTCCCTTGGATAATGAGGGAGGTTATGAATTTAGTCAAAAGGAGAAAACAAAGCATATATAAGGTTTAGGAAACTAAAATCGGACAGGGCCCATGAGGAATATAAAGAAAGCAGGAAATAACTCAAGCAGGGAATGAGGAGAGCACCAAGGGGCCATGAAATGACTTTGGCAAGTAGGGTTAAAGAGAATCCCAAGGCATTCTGTACATATATTTAAAAACAAGAGGATAATTAGGGAGAAGGTAGGACCACTGAAGGATAAAGGAAGGAACTTGTGCTTGGAGGCAGAGGATGTGGGTGAAATTCTAAATGAGTACCTTGCGTCAGTATTTACCCAGGAGAAAGATATGGAGGATAGAGAGATTTGTGCGGAGCACGTTAATATGCTAGGGCATTTTGACATTAAGAAAGAAGTGGTGTTGTGTCACTTGAAGAACATTGAGGTGGATAAGCTCCCAGGGCCTGAAGGTATCTACCCCAGGTTCTTGAGAGAGGCAAAAGAGGAAATTGCTGGGGTCTTGACCAAGATCTTTGTATCCTGATTAGCCACTGGAGAGGTCCCGGAGAATTGATGAATAGCTAATGTTATTCCTCTTTTCAAGAAGGAAAATAGGGATAATGCAGGAAACTGTAGACCAGTGAGTCTTACATTGGTGGTTGGGAAGCTATTGTAGAGAATTCTTAGGGATAGAATTTATGTGCATTTGGAAAAGCATGGCCTAATTAGGGAAAGTCAGCATGGCTTTGTTCAGGGCTGGTCATGTCTTAGAAACTTGACTGAATTTTTCGAGGAGGTGACGAAGGTGATCGATGAGAGTAGAGCAGTGAATGTTGTCTACATGGACTTTAGTAAGGTTTTCAACAAGGTCCATCATGGTAGGCTCATCCAGAGATTTAAGATGCATGAGATCCATGGTAACTTGGTTGCATGGATTCAGAATTGGCTTGCCCATAGAAGGCAGAGGGTAGTGGTGGAAGGTTGTTTGCCAGGCTGGAGGTCATGACTTGTAGTGTTCTGCAGGGATCCGTACTGGGACCTCTGCTGTTTGATGAAAATGTAGTTGAGCGGGGTAGTAAGTTTTCAGACGATCCAAAGATTGGTGGAGTTGTCGATGGTGTAGAAGGTTGTCAAAGGATACGGCGGGATATAGATCATTTGCAGATATGGGTGGAGAAATGGCAGATGGAGCTTAATCTATGTGAGTTTGAGATGCTGCACTTTGGGAGATCAAATGTTACGGAAAAGTGTACAGTTAATGGCACTGAACAGCATTGATGTGCAGAGGGACGTTGGGGTTCAAATCCATAGCTCCCTGAAATGGCCATGCAAGTAAATAGAGTGGTGATGAAGGTTTATTTGCCTTTGATTGGGGAATTGAGTACAGGAGTCAGGATGTCATGTTGTAGCTTTATAAGACTTTGGTTAGGCCACACTTAAGAGTATTGCATTCAATTCTGGTCGCCACAATACAGGAAGGTTGTGGAGGCTTTGGAGAGAAGAGGCTTACAAGAATGCTGCCTGGACTGGAGAGTATGAACTATAATGACAGGTTAGAAAAACTAGGGTTGTTTTCTCTGGAGCGGCAGAGGCTGTGGGGAGACTTGATAGAAGTCTATAAAATTTTGAGATGCATAGATAGACGGTCAGAATATTTTTTCCCCAGAGTTGAAATGTTTAAAACTAGGGGGCATGCATTTAATGTGAGGGGTGAAAGGTCATAGGAGATGTGAGGGGAACGTTTTTACACAGAAAGTGGTAGGAGTGTAGAATGCGCTGCCAGGGGTGGTAGTGGAGACAGATATGATAGGGGCATTTAAAAGACTTTTAGATAAGCACATGAATATGCAAGGAATGCAGGGATGTGGACCAAGGGCAGGCAGAAGGGATTAGTTTAATTTGCCGTCATGTTTGGCACAACATCGTGGGCCAAATGGTCCATTCCTGTGCTGTACGGTTCTATGTTCAATGTTCTAGTTGTGTCTGCCTAATGGGAGAGCAGCCCCTATGGTCCTCTGGGAATATGACTACATTACAAAATAACAAGGGACTTTGAGTGAACAGGGAAGACCTTTTTTTTCCATCAAAGAGATCAATTACCAGGATGTGCAGATTTAAAGTGATTGATTGGTAGAAGAATTATAGGGGGTATGAGGAAAGGCTGTTTTCACCGAGCTCACGGTGGGTGTCTGGAATTCGATGCTCAGTTTGTTGGTTGCAATGGAAACCCTCAACTCCTTTTTTAAAAAAAAAAAAAAAAAAAAAATCCTGGATGTGCACCTGAAGCAAGATCAAATGTGGTACATGGGATAGAATGTGTGGCTAACTTATTCAGCTATAATAGACTTGATGGGCCAGGCCTTTTTCTGTGCTGCAATATTTCCATGGCTTCTGTGCTTTTTTTGCACCAGAAAAGTGAAATAATTCTGCGAAGGCCGGTGTCCCATCACTAAGTTACCCTTTATTTACACGTACATAGTACGTGATACTGACCCAGCTGGGTCCTGAGTGAATGTAATCCCTGACACTCCTGTTTATAACTATCAGCCAGGACTCCCTGATTGGACCAGGTCCACCTGGCTGACCTTGTTCCAATCAATACAAAAATATATATACTTCCCGTTCTTTTGCTTCCTTTTCAGGTCTTTGCCAGCAGTGTTCTTCTATTCACAGAGTATGTTCAAGGCAGACATTGCTAGATTTTAAAGTGAGTTAGGGATAGTACAGGAAAATGGTGTTGAAGTAGTAAATGAACCACAGTCTCGTTGAAAGGGAGAACAGGCTTCAGGGACTGATAATGGAATAGTTTAGGTTAGATGGGCTTCAGATTGGTTTCACAGGTCGGCGCAACATCGAGGGCCGAAGGGCCTGTACTGCGCTGTAATGTTCTATGTTCTATGGTTCAGAGGGATATGGGCCAAATGCTGGCAAATGGGATGAGGTCAGATTGCGATGTCTGGATGAGTTGGACTGATGGGGTCTCTTTCTGTGCTGTGTGACTGTATGTAGCTATCTAATTCCCATTTAAAATAAGTAATAGGCTCTCCTAATGCTAGGACTGCATTGTAGTTTTATATTGCCCCCAGATTTTATGATTCTCTGCTCCTGTTCAATGTTATTATTGCCTGTTAGGAATTACATGGTCTAAAGACTCCCAGAAAGACAAAATAAAGTAGGAGTTGGTCTTGGTATTCACTTATAACTTCAATTAATTGTTTATGTACTGTACGTCTGACATTTCAGAAGGTTCCTTGTACTGCAAAATTTGATGAAGAATTACGTGAGGAGTCAATAGTAGTTATTAAAGGAAAATTGACTGATGATCCCCTCAGGTAACGTTAATTTTTAGTATCCAATGATAGCATTTAGACAATAAGTAAATTGTATATTCATACTATTTGCACATTAACATTATCATGTTAATTTTCAAAGAAACATTTCACACAAGTTTTCTTTAAGATTAACTGCTAATGTTGTTATAAATATTGTAAATAAATGAATCATTGTTTAGGTACTGAATACCAAATTTGTCCCAAAAATCTTATTTCTTTGCGTGTGAGTGAATCATATCTTTGTGTCTGGGATATATTCTAGATGAATGGGGAACATTCAGTTATACCACAAGTGAGGTGCTAAGTATTTAGTTTTAGGATAAATGCACAGCTTTTATTGCTATTTTGCAGATATATTTAATGAGCAATGTGGAAGTACAAAATACACATTAATACATTTTTGCTTGCTGACCTTGAGGTCACTTCTGGAGTACAATGGCCAGCATCTTAAGAAATCCATTAATTTTGAGGCAGAAATAGGAGGAAGAATAATTCTTAAACTACAGCTTTATAACAATGTATTATTTTTAGTTTTATATTTCACAATTGTAAAACATGTGCACATAAATGTACTTAATATATTACAGCCTGTATTATTTTTTCTTGATGACTAACCATTTCCTCAAACCCTTTTGATTTTGTCTTGATACTTGACTTTCGACTCCAATATCATGTGCAAAAACGCTATTTTTTTTTCATAAATACTGAAAGAACTGCGAATGCTGTAAATCAGGAACAAAAACAGAAGTTGCTGGAAAAGCTCAGCAGGTCAGGCAGCATCTATGAAGAAAAGATCAGAGTTAACGTTTTGGGTCCGGTGACCCTTCCTCAGAACTGATGGTAGCACGGAAAATGTCAGTTTATATGCAGAAAATATGGAGGGAGTTGGCGTTGGGAGTAAACGATATGATAGAGCCCAAAGAGAAAGAAGAACAGTTCGACAGACAAAGTAGTTGATAACGCTCCAGCTGGTAGAGTGAATAATTGTTAATGGGGACTGTTAGTGACTAACAATTGCTTTTTTCATCCCTAATGTGATGCTTTCAACTGCCCAACTGCCTCCGTTATTTCTTGTCCTCCATGATGGACCATCCTTCCCACTCCTGCCTGTCAATTTCTTCCATATCTGCCTCAGATTAATCTCATGTAAGAGTTTTCGCTTGTTCCTTTGACTTCATCCATTTCAGGAGAATTTACAGTGGGAAACTCAGAAATGATGGAGAAACTAAGCAGTTACTTTATACCTGTCTTTATGGAACGAAGAAAAAAGAAAGTTACAGCACAGGAACAGGCCCTTCGGCCCTCCAAGCCTGCGCTGATCCAGATCCTCTATCTAAACCTGTCACCTATTTTCCAAGGATCTGTATCCCTCTGCTCCCTGCCCATTCATGTATCTGTCTAGATACATCTTAAATGATGCTATCGTGCCCACCTCTACCACCTCCGCTGGCAACGTGTTCCAGCACCGACCACCCTCTGCGTAAAGAACTTTCCACGCATATCTCCCATAAACTTCTCCCCTCTCAGCTTGAAATTGTGACCCCTAGTAATTGAGTCCCCCACTCTGGGGAAAAAGCTTCTTGCTATCCACCCTGTCTATATCTCTCATGATTTTGTAGACCTCAATCAGGTCCCCCCTCAACCTCCGTCTTTCTAATGTAAATAATCCTAATCTTCTCAACCTCTCTTCATAACTAGCGCCCTCCATACCAGGCAACATCCTGGTGAACCTCCTCTGCACCCTCTCCAAAGCATCCACATCCTTTTGGTAATGTGGCGACCAGAACAGTATTCCAAATGTGGTCAAACCAAAGTCCGATACAACTGTAACATGACCTGCCAACTCTTGTACTCAATGCCCCGTCCGACAAATGAAAGCATGCCGTATGCCTTCTTGACCACTCTATCGACCTGCGTTGCCACCTTCAGGGTACAATGGACCTGAACACCCAGATCTCTCTGTGCATCAATTTTCCCCAGGGCTTTTCCATTTACCATATAGTTCTCTTGAATTGGATCTTCCAAAATGCATCACCTCGCGTTTGCCTGGATTGAACTCCATCTGCCATTTCTCCACCCAACTCTCCAATCTATCTATATTCTGCTGCATTCTCTGACAGTCCCCTTCACTATTTGCTACTCCACCAATCTTAGTGTCATCTGCAAACTTGCTAATCAGACCATCTATACCTTCCTCCAGATCATTTATGTATATCCAGGAAGACGATACAGAAAATCTCACAAAAGTACTAAGCAATCAAGGGACAGGTGCATCTGAGGAGCTAAAAGAAATTGGTATTATTAAATTAGTAGTATTGGAATAAAATTAGCTGGATTGAGAGGTGATAAATGTCCTGGATCAGATGAGCTTGATCCAAGAATGTTCAAGAAAGTATACCAAACCTTCATTATCTGTGGTGGTTAGGGGCATGGACTTTTTGCAGTTAATAGAAAATGTGGATGCTGCTACCATGTAACTCTCTCATCTACTGTGAAGCACTGGGCAATCAGACCAGACAGATCTGTGAGAAAAAAAAGGGGGCCTGGGGCTGATCTGGTGAGTATATGGATCTACAGGTAGCAAATCCACAAATAACGAAGAGTGTGTATAGTTTTTGGGATAATGGATGCATTGCTGATTATCTTTCATTATTCTACAGAATCTGGAAAGGTTCTTGCTGACTGGAGGGTAGCAAATCTAGCCCTCTTATTTAAGAAGGGAGAGAGGGTGGAGAACTACAGGCTTGATAGCTCAATGTTAGTACCAGTTATAAAGAATGCAATAATGAACACTTTGAAACGAACAGCAAAATTGGGCAGAGTCAGCATGGATTTATGAAAAGGAAATCATGTTTGATAAGTTTGTTGGAACTTTTTGAAGCTATTACTGTAGCATGTAAGAATTAATGAATGTGGTAAATGCATGGCAGATGAAAGATAATGTGGATAAATGTGGGGTTAACCACTTTGGCTCTCAAACAGGAAGGCATATTATTATCTGAATAGCAATAGGTTGGGAAAGGGAGGTGCCATGAGATTTGGGTGTCCATGTACACCAGTCATTGAAAGTAAGCATGCAGATGCACTGGGTGATGAAGAAGGCAGATGGTATGTTGGCCTTCCTAGTGAGAAGGTTTGAGTGCAGGAACAGGAATGTCTTGCTATAATTGTACAGGACCTTGGTGAGATCACAGCTTGAGTATTGTATAGGGTTTTGGTCTCCCTATCTGAGGAAGGATGTTTGAGCTATGGAGAGAGTATAACAAAGGTTTACCAAATTTATTCCTGGGATGGCAGGACTGACGTATGAGGAGAGACTGGATGATTTAGGACTATATTTGCTGTTGCTTAGAAGAATGAGGGTGCAATCTCATCGACACCTATAAAATTCTGACAGACCACACAGGTTAACGCAGGAAGGATGTCCTAGACGACTGGGGAGTCTAGAACAACGGGTCACAGTCTTAACGATATGGAGTAGGCCATTTAGACTAAGATAAGTAGAAATTTCTTTACCCTGAGAGCTTGTGCAACTCTGCCACAGAAGGTGGTTGAGGCCAAAACATTGAATGTTTTCAAAGAGGAGATGAATATAGTTCCTAAGGCAAAAGGAATCAAAAGGTATGGGGTGAAAGTGAGCACAGGGTATTGAGTTGGATGATCACCCATGATTATATTGTTTTTGAGCAGGCTCGAAGGGCCAAATGACCTACTCCTGTCCCTACTTTTTGATGTTTCTATGATATATTTGAATCTTCAGAAGGATTTTGATAAAGATCCATTCAGAAGGCTAGTAATAAAATTAGAGCACATGGATTGGGGAGAATATATGAGTAAGGATTGAAAATTAGCTAATACAGTGTATAAGGTAGGAATAAACAGATCATTTTCAGGATGGCAGACTGTTACTCGAAGGGAACCAAAATGGTCAGTGCTAGGTCCACAACTGTTTACAATCTATACAAATGATTTGGAACTAGGAACCATTTGTAATATTTCCAAATTTGCTGATGACCACCAGACTAGGTGGGAGTGCAATTTGAGGAGGATGCAAAGAACCTTGAAGAGGACTTGGACAGGCTAAGTGAATGGGCTAGAATATGGCAGATGGACTATAATGTGAAACAGTGTTAAGTTATTCACTTTCTTAGAAAACGCAGAGAAGCAGAGTCATTCTTAAACGATAAGAGGCTGGGTTGTGCAGGTGACTTAAGGGATCTCAATATCCTTGTCCATGAGTCATTAAATCTAGCATGTTGATGCAGTAAGCAATTAGGAAGGTTGGACATTTATTTCAAGGGGATTTGAGTACAGAACTAAATATGCCTTGGATATAAGAGCAGATCAGGCAAGGATGTAAATATATTGGAGAAATTTAAAGAAGGTTTGCCAGATTAATAACAGAAAGAACTGCGGATGCTGTAAATCAGGAACAAAAACAAAGTTGCTGGAAAAGCTCAGCAGGTCTGGCAACATCTGTGAAGGAAGAAACAGATTTAACATTTGGGGTCCGGTGGCCCTTCCTCAGAACTCAGATTAATTACCAGATTAATGTCTGCTTGTTTTCTCACATCATCCTTGCTTCTTTTGTACATCACTTTAAAACTATGCTGTCTCATCTTTGTTCCTTCATCCCATTGGGAACAGCTTCAGACGAAACAGAGGTAGAGGAAAAAGAGGAGAGGAGTTGCATTTTTGATTACGGGGAGTATCACAGCAGCAGACAGAGATTAAATAATTGAGGGATAATCCAGTGAGGCTTTGTGGGTGGAGCTAAGAAATTAGAAGGGGCTGGTGACGTTATTGGGGTTGTACTATAGGCCCCCAAATAGTCAACGGGAATTAGAGGAACAAATATGCAGGGAGATTGGGGAGACTTGCAGGAGAAATAGGGTTGTCATAGTAGGGGATTTTAATTTCCCTAACATAGACTGGGACTGCCGTGGTGTTAAGGGCTTAGATGGGGTGGAATTTGTTAAGTGTGTTCAGGAAAGTTTCCT